TCACTACAATTAAAAGGGGAAACTCTGTGATTCTAAATTTTATATGTGAAAAACCAACAAAACAAAGTTTCAATGCCGTTTGCAAGGAATGTACTGTTTGTAATATGTTTAATAAATTATTACTTCAGTTTGAACAATTTGAGTTTCATGAAAACAGTGACAGAAACCTCAAGCAAATATATCAAAATAGAAAAGGTTAAAAAAGAAGGAACAATTGCAGTTTTATTATTGCATATTAAAGAAATGCATGCAAAGTTTGTTATTCATTGTAATGTCAAAAGCAGTCAATCGTCCGTTTCGTATCGTAATCGTAAATTTAATATAGAATCGGCGATTCATAAAGACTCAAATAAGGCTGTTATTCAAGTTGACTGGGCAGAAAATTATATTTGTTTTTACCAAAACGAAACGCAAGCAACTCAATTCGGTCAAAATCACATTTCTATTTTTACATGTGCAGTCAAATTAAATCTCTTGCGCTAGTTTCTGATTCATACAAAATTATCTGTTGTTCCTAACATAAATAAAATTATCGAGCTTCTATCAGACGATATTACAGAAGTTCATATTTTCAGTGACAACGCAACATCTCAATTTAAAAATAAGTACATTTTAGCATTAATAAATTTTTTAGAAAAAAAGCATTCAATTAAAATGCACTGGCTTTTTTTACTGCTATGCATGGAAAAATAATTGTGGATGGAATTGGAGCCACTGTAAAATGTGTTGCCAGAAAAAATGTTTTAATTGAAAAATATATAATTTCTAGCGCTAGCGATTTGGCAGCCGCTACAAACAATTTAAAAACTACTGTTGTATTACTGACTGATAAAGAAAAGCTAGAGATAAATAACTCTCTTGCTTTGAGAACTTTTTTAAGAAAACAAAAAAAATTAAAGAATTGCATAAATGCCATTACTTTCAGGTTTTAGACGGAAATGTTGTAGGGGAGCAGCTTTCGCCGAATATTGCATAATATCAAAGGAATAGAAACGTCTAGACATTTGGCAGTGACCAGGTAACTTAAAAATCACCTTAATAAGCTGTGCAAACAAGTTTTATCATTTCTAAATAAAAGCTATAAATATAGTATTGGATTTGTTTTGCATTTTAATTTTAATTATAATAAAAATTCGCAAGTTGCGTAGCTGATTGTTGCGTAGCTGATTGTTGCGTAGCTGACCACATGGTTTCTTAAAACCTTTTTTTTTTTACCTGCAACTGTTATTATATAGAAAGTCTTACTTGTTTTTTTCAATACTTTTTAGTTTTCTAGGGTTATGTTTCGTGACCTTTTTTGTGCAACTTAGCTCAGAAGGTTTATTCATTTTATCCTTAACTACAGTTCGATCAAAAGAACGTTCAATCAAAAGTTCGATCAAAAGATCGTTTAAAAAACTTCTAGTTGTTGCTTTTTAAATTATTTTAGTTGTTCAATTATTGTCCGAATAATTGATGCTCTTAAAGCTCTGAAGATCAAAGTTCCAAAGTAAATGTAAGTAAAATGAATATATTTATAAACATCTTTGAGTTAGAAACATTTATAAAATAAGGTTGTGAACAGATAAAAATATCAAGAGTACATTTAAAAGGAAATCATATTCCCTACCCCCAACATTTTCAAAATTGAGAGTACTGAAGCTCCAAAAACCTTTCCCCCTCCCCCTTTTTCCACCCCGGGGTCCAGGTATCTTTTAATGTAAAATCATCTTTATAAACTTTATAAATAAATTTTATTGTTACAAGCTGTAAATATAGTTTTATATTTGTTTTGGGTTTTATTTCAAATAATATAAAAATTCGCATGTTGCGTAGCTAATTGTTGCGTAGCTGATCGCTTGGTTTTTTGGAAACTTTTTTTTTGACGTGTAATTATTATTATATTTAAAATTTTTTATAAATATAACTTCAATGAAATAATTGTTTTTAACGAAAAAAAGTTTTTATAAAATAATAAATAATAGATTCGGAGAAAAAATAATTCAAACTTTAAATTTAAAAAACAAGCTTTTTTGCGCGTTGCATAGTTGACCGCTGTCTTTCAGTTCTACTTTACTCAAATTTTCTTCTTATCCTTTTTTTTTTTTTTTGAATAATAATAAAAAAAGATAATTTGAGTGTAAACGTAAAAAAAAAAAATTAAAAATTATAATATAATGAGTCAGTTAAATTTTTTAAAACATGTTGCGCTCGTTGCATAGCTGACCATAGTAACTTGTATATGTATATATATAAACTATGTTAGTGTATTCTACAATTAGAGTGCTCCATGTTCTTAAAGAACAGAGCTATAATAATTTAATAAAAGCACTTATATAATTATTTTGCTCTTCAGTAACAATATTTGCCGTAAGAAACTTAAAAACCAAAAAAGGTCCTCAAATTTTTATTTGGGCCGCGCCCATTTTGGTTCTTAAATACGGTCGACTCTGTTAAAAACGATCTAGATTAGCCCCTTTATATTATATTTCTTTACTTTTACTAACAGAATAACAGTATTACTCTGTTTGAAAAAAATTCGCTATTGAAGAAAGTATCCAGTCAACACATGAGATCAATATGATATTAATGTGATATCAAAAATTTCTCATGCTGCGATATCAAATAATTATCTCAATATGATATCATATAAATGTTATAACCATAGATAAATAAATTCAAGTATGGTTGTGATATCGTCATGAGATCAAGTTGAGATTACGACTTGATATCAAACCATGAGAAACTTTTGATATCTAAATTACATCACATTGATATCAATTTTTGACAAAACACCACACACTCGAGTTTGTGGTGTTTTGTCAAAAACATCAAAACTTCAAAAACGTAACCTCATTATGATATCATGGTAGAACTTGGCAAAAACCAGGAAATTTCAAAAAACCAGCTTTCGGTTTTTAAATTGTAAAACCGGATAATCGGTTTTACGCTGGTTTTTTATTATAAAAGCGATTTTTTATTATTGCGTATAAATCCCATGTAACAAACAGGATTGGTTTATACATGCTGGAATTAGATCCGAAACTAAAAGAAAATATTTCATACTTAAGAAAGTTTTTCATATTTATAATCAAAATTTGTTTTTTTCATTAAATATATTTTCATTAAATGTACAGTAATATTTACATCTTTTTTTATTCATTATTAATTTAGTTTGAATCTAATGAACTTAATTTTTTCTTGTATGTCTCTTTTTTCTATTCCAATCTTTTTTTTTTTTTTGTGATATAACTTTTATTTTAATACTCTTCATAACTTTTAACTGTTTAATATAACTAAATATAACTAGTTATAAACATAAGTTTATAACTAAATTTTATTTTAAATTTTAAAAAACAACTTTTAACTAAAGTTTATGCATGTGATCTGTTTACAAAAGTGTAATGTAAAAATATACTACGATTTATAATATTTAATGTAATACAAAAGACAAAATTATAATAACAGATTTGTTGACGAAAAATTTAATATTGTTATTTTTTTTTTTTTTTAGTTTACAATAATAGTTGTGATACAAAATAACATAAAAGTCTTGGAAAAAAATAAACAATTCAGCGTACTAACAACATAAAGTTTCGAAAAAAAGATCATAAAGATCATATCATCAGAATCCTAAAAGTTAAACATATTTATATATAATATATAGATATATTGAAGATTTAACATAATGCAAAGATACAACATACAATTTAATATATAATATGCTGAAGATTTAACAAATACATTTTGCATACGTGTTTAGTAGAATTTTAGAATGCTGTTCATAAAAAAAGTATTTTAAAATTTAAATAGTGTTAAAAGATTCTGTCAGTATGTAATCTATTAATAATTGTTTAAAAAAATATTGACATTTACCTAATGACATTGTATAAAGATTATGCTCATTCGCTGCTGTATTGTTTTGTAAACAACGCAAGTGTTCACAACTTGGATCATTTACTTACGTATAACTTTCTCTGTCTAAACCATTTAGATTCTGCATCAGAATATATACTTTATTTAGAAAATTAATTCTCCTATTAAAAATGAATGCTATTTACTTAAATCTGGAAAATTTTTCTTCATTAACACGTGCAATTAGAGAATCGAACAAATTTTGGACAAGTCTACTCAAAAAATGAAAACTTTTTTACTTCTCCTTGTAATTCAAAAAATTTTGGTATTCATCGAGTGCAAGATTGTGATACAGATATGATGTTTCCTACAATGAATTGCAATCAAAAGTGATACGTATACCACTAGCTTATTTTGAACCTGATAATTTCACATCATCAGTTATAATATTACTTGTACATAAGCAATAATATAACTTTTAAGTGATCTGCACAGTTTTAATTTAAAGTTTATGTTCAATACTTTAACTTTATTGTTTATCTTTGTATCCATTTTTTTTAACTAATTAAAATTTGAATTTATTTAATTTTTTTATTTTCTTACTAGTTAAGTTGACAATTATAAATTATTTTTATTCAGTTAATGCTTGTGTTTTTATAGTGTCTAAATTATTATTATTTCTAATAAGTTATTTTTCAATATTAAATTTTTGAATCTTTATTAATTTCGAAAGTTACTAACTGCAGTAATTTTATATAGTAATTAAATGTTTAAAGAAAATAGGTTATTAGAGTAACCATATGTTTAGGAAACATGGGTTCAATGCGAGAGTAAAGTATCTTTTAATGTTGACAGGAAAAATATATACTTTTCACTGCACAAACTCATGAAAAAAATACTTCAAAATAGATGAAAATCAGGGAAAATGGATTTTAAAAACTACCATGAACCCTGTGTATGGAGTGTACTATATAATCTATATTGTTATTTTTGGAAATTAAAGTGGTTTTTTGAATTTGATAATTATTACCATATTAATTTATATTATTGCACGTAAAACATTGTTTTTAACATACATAAAAAGAATTATATATTTAAAATGAAGGTGTTAAGCTCTTATAATAAATGTGTTTTATTAAATATATATCAATACTTGTGTGTTTTAGTTTAAACTCTGTTCATTGATTTGGTTTATACGAAATCGATCCCTAGATACAATGTGCTGACGTAGAAACAAGGTATTGGAAAAATATATATTTCAGAAAACTAATCAAAATATTGAATTTCAGTTATAAAATCAATGCAAAGACAAAATCTAAACTTAGAATCCTAGATTAAATCGATAAACCAAAGATAAATTTTGAATCTCGTATTAACTTGGTTCTGATAAAAAGATAGTGTAGTTTTGCTAAAGAATAGTTTCAATTATATTTTAAATATTATTTTTTACATGTTATAAATTTAAATATTTATAAGCAAACAATTTCTTTTGGTGTTTTTGTTTAAAGAACACTTTCGAATTTGTTTTAAAAAATTATTTTTTGCACATAATTTTATTATAATTATAAACATGTAATTTATTTTTGTGTTTTCGTTTTTGTCGAATTTTTATTCATTATACATAATTATAACAATAATAGTTTTTATTATTATAAATAATGAATGAAAATTCGAATATATATATATATATATATATATATATATATATATATATATATATATATATATATATATATATATATATATATATATATATATATATATATATATATATATATTTATATATATATATGAAGGTGCTGTAATATTTTATATATACAGTGGTGTTGTAATATTTAATAAAAAAGTTGAATATAAAAAAGACAATTTATTTCTCATGAGAATATCAAAATATGACATCAAATTTTAAGGTCGGGGTGAAATCAATGTGTGATTTCATTTTGAGATAATCATGATATCATGAACTTCTCAAAATATGACATCTCATTCTGAGTACAGGATGATATCATCTTTTGATATCATAAGGCTCTCATATTATGATATCAAATTTGAGCTCAAATTTTGATATAAATGTGTGATTTTATTTTGATATCATATTGATCTCATAAACGTATCATGCTATGATATCATAGATCTCTCACAGTATGAAATCAATATGATATAATTATGATATCAAATGGCTGACTGGGTAATTAGGTTTTAGCATGAATTTTGCATGCGTTAGCAAAAGCATGCAAAATTTTACCTAAAAGGAATGCATTTGCAATTACTCTTTAAGAAATCATGCTTGAACATTGTGATTGCTTTCAAGATTCTTGTCAAAACTTTTAAAAGTGTTTTTAATATGCATACAAACATAACTTCACTTTGGGGTCGTCCATAAATTACGTTACGTCCATAAATTACTTCCATAAATTACGTTACGTCCATAAATTACGTAATTTTTGACCGTTTTCGACCTCCATCCTACTCCCTCCAACCCCCCTGCCCCCCACCCCCAACCCCATTACACTTAAGAAGCAAGTTTTCGTAAAGAGGAGGATTAGTAAGAGGATTGCCATTCATTAATATAGGAATGTTGACCATATTACGGTAGTTGTTTGCAGTAAGCAACTGGGTTTTTTCAGAGTTGAAATTCACAAGCCACTGTGAACCCCAATCTATTACTGAAGTGAGATCGGATTCAAGATTAGCTGCTTGTTCTAGGCGATCGAAAAGAAAAGACTTTTTGTCAAGACAGGAGTATAAAGTTGAGTCATCAGCAAAAAGAGCTACTTTAGATGAAAGGTTGTCAGGAAGATTGTTTATGTAGATAAGAAACAAAACAGGGCCCAGTATGGAACCTTGGGGATATTATCTTTGATCAAATAAACAGTAGTTTATTTGACTCAAGATGAGATGTGAGGAATTTGTTGATCAAAGACTCAAAGACCTTGCTAATAACAGAAAGAAGACTGATCGGACGATAATTGGAGGGGTCAGAATTTTCTCCAGAGTTTTTGAATATTGGAACCACAGATGCCATTTTCCAACAAGCAGGAAAACAAGACTCAGTCAAACACTTGTTAAATAGTTTAGAGAGAATTGAAGAAAGTTCTGGAGAACAATTCTGCAAGACTGTGACAGGAATGTTGTCTGGACCACAAGCTGTAGACGAGTTTAATTGAGATGAGTTTAGCAACAGAAGCCGGAGTGATTTGAATGTCTAACAATGGGTCAACCTGTTTGACCGGAATGAAAGGAAGAGAATGTCCATAAGATTCAAGAGTGAAATTAGAAGAAAAGTTCTTTGCAAATAGTTCTGCCTTATCCTTGGGAGAGGTAATAAGATCAGTCCCATGAATGAGAGATGGAATGTTAGATCTACCCTTGTTAATAATGCTGTTGAAGATTTTCCAAAAGTCTTTAGAGCCTAACTTCTGCGATAAGATGCGAGATTTAGTGAACTTAGAATAATGGAGTTTAGCATCAGAAAGCACCTTTTTATATCGATTTTTTGCAATAATAAATAGTTGTTTGTTCTCAAGAGAGTTGTTCTTTTGAAAAAGATGAAAAAAATGATTACGATTGGATATAGCAGCCGCACAAGAAGGAGAAAACCATGGAGTAGAATGAGGCTTGACTTGAAACCGACGCGAAGGAATAAAAGCTTCCATTCCAGCCTGAATCCAGGAGGTTACGTAGGAGGCGCATTTGTCAGCTGAGAGAAAAAAAACATCAGCCCAAGGACCATCACGAAGAAAATCACGAAAGGAATCCCAGTCAGCTTTAGGGTAGTAGTAGGTGGTGCGATGATAAGGTGAGCCCAAAAAAGAAGTACGAGAAGAAAGATTTATAGAGATCATTGCATGGTCAGAACCACCTAAGGGAGAAAAGGGAGAAACTGAACATAAACTAGGGTCAGAGACAAGACATAAGTCAAGGAGTGAAGGTAAATGATTAGGGTTGTCAGGAAAACGAGTCACAAAGTTAACTATCTAAGTAAGAGATTGAGAAACGCAGAAGTTAAAGGCTTTAGTGCCAGCAGGAACAGTGGTGTTAGAGCCAAGCCATTCAGTGTGTTGGGCATTAAAATCACCACCAACAACAATATTGGCAGAGGGGTAAAGAGAGAGGGCATGGTCAATTTGATCAGAGATAACATCTAAGAGAGTGCAATCATGGGAAGAAGGAGAACGAAAAAGAACAAAGAGAAAGGTGATAGAGTGAAGAGGTGCTAGGCAAGAGCACATAAAAGAATGGTCAAAGGATTCGAACCTGATTTCACGACAAATAGGGGAATTAATACGTATGTATACCCCTAAACCTAGCATGTGACTATTGGAGTCTTTACGAATCAAAAGATAGTACCCATCAACACTGACATCTGAAGAGGGAATTGCAGAATTTAAATTTATTTCACTGAGTGCAAGCAAGTCTGGTAAGTTTTGCAGGAGGTAAGACTCAACTAATGGAAAGTTGCTTCGTAGGCCGCGAATATTTGTAAAAAATATATCAAAATATTTAGGTGGTAGGGATGATTTTTTAGGTTTTAAATTTTTGGTTACTTTGGTCATGATTTGGGTTCAATGAGAACTTGACTCATTCATAGATAGAGCACAGCCTCCTAATCAATGAGCTATGCAGTTGTCTCAGTCCTGTTAATTAACCCTAAGCCGTGACATAGGGCTCCTTACGTGGCCTTGACAATGCACACTAAAAGCTTTAACAGGGACACCATCCATGCGCAACATGGCACTGTTAATACTCTGATATTTTGCAGCTGTTGATGGAATCAGCCTCTCTGAGAGCTACCACAGAGTCCGGGAAACCTTACTACCAGCCGGCCTCAGAACCATTAAACTGAGTTTTAGAGCTGTACCCTCATATGGAGATAACAGGAAGAGTTGCATAGCCATTATCAAGGAGGCATAAGCAAAATTCTATGAGTAGAGTCAAGGAGATCCAGCATTCATCATCCTAGGCAGGAAACAATGTAACACAGGTTGCATCTACAATATAACATAGGTTACATCTACGCCAGCCTAATAGATGAAGAAGGGGTTCGAGGTTCTGGTTAGCAGAATTTTTCTGCTTACCCCTAAAGTCTTTGCCTAGGAGGCCTTCTACAAGACAGTAGCTGAATGCAGTTAACATCTGCCCAAAATGAGTATTTTTATTGAGACACCATCTCTAGCCTTTACTCAACCAAGAGCCCCAAGACAGGGGATGTTCAGCTGGAAAAAGTTAACATCTGCCCAAGATGAGTGTTTTTATCGAGACATTATCTCTAGCTTTTACTCAACCAAGAGCCCCAAGGCAGGGGATTTAGTCGGAGTTTATTTCTCCTAGCCTTTGCCTAAGAAGAGCACATTCTGCAAGGCAGCAGGGCTTGTGGCAGGTGGTACTGAGTTACGTGATACCAGTAGCAAGATTGATCTTGATTATCCTGACCTGACCTGGAGTAGTTAAAAGGAGTTACTTCCCGCAACAGTACTTTGAGAAAACCAGGCATGACATTTTAGAAGTGCATTAAGAAAAACACTGCATCTAACAAAATACAGGAGTCTAAGGTGAGTGTACGTTTTGTAGTTGGAGTAAGTAGTTAGTTACTGAGCTCACGCTGCATTAGAGTATAAACAGAACACAAACAAACATAAATCAACTTACGGGTGAGTCAACACCGCGCCAGAGGTACAGACAAAACACAAACATACATAAAAAACGTAAAGTAACTTACCGGTGAGCGAACACCGCGCCAGAGGTTCAGACAGAACACAGGCATACATAAAGAACATAAAGTAACTTACGGGTGAGCGAACACCGCGCCAGAGGTTCAGACAGAACACAAACATACAGAACACAAACATAACAAAGATTACAGGTGAGCTAATACAGCAACTAAGGCACCTCCAACTATATGGAAAAGAAAAAAAAAAAAAAAATTTCTATAGGCATGACTGATATAAGATAGTACTGATGACAGGAAGAACACTCCTTCCAGCCTTTGCTTAGAAAGCAAATCCTGCAAGGCAGCAGAACATGGAACAGGTTGTACTTGGTTACATGTTACCAGTAGCAGGATGATCATGAAGACCATACTCCTGACATCATGAAGACCATACTCCTGACCTGACACTTATTTAGCTTTTAGATTAAACTCTCTCACTATTAACTTATCGTACTCAATAATAGCATATTTTCCAGCGTTACGCTCAATCTTCATCTTTTCACTTAATTCGCGTCTTATTTTGTTAGTTTCAAATGAAAAATCTTCATTAATAAAAATACCTGTACCTTTCAGCATCTTTGCGTTTTCCAAAATTTTTTCTTTGTCTTTATAATTTAACAATTTGAGTATGATTGTTCTGGGTTTATTCTTTATTTTCTCTGCGTTAAAGCGTCTTTCGATACGGTGCGCTCGTTCAATAATAATGTTACTTATTTTTAACTGATCATTGAATATTTGTTGAACTTTTTTTCAGTTTGATCCCATGTTTCTTTTTCATTTTCTCGTACACCGTCAATTCTAATGTTTTTTCTTCTATTCCTATC